GTTGTGTCCTGAGGCAGTCTACCTAAGTTGTGTTCTGAGGCAGTCTACCTAAGTTGTGTCCTGAGGCAGTCTACCTGAGTTGTGTCCTGAGGCAGTCTCCCTAAGTTGTGTCCTGAGGCAGTCTACCTAAGTTGTGTCCTGAGGTAGTCTACCTAAGTTGTGTCCTGAGGCAGTCTACCTAAGTTGTGTCTTGAGGTAGTCTACCTAAGTTGTGTCCTGAGGTAGTCTACCTAAGTTGTGTCCTGAGGCAGTCTACCTAAGTTGTGTCTTAAGGCAGTCTACCTAAGTTGTGTCTTAAGGCAGTCTACCTAAGTTGTGTTCTGAGGTAGTCTACCTAAGTTGTGTTCTGAGGTAGTCTACCTAAGTTGTGTCCTGAGGTAGTCTACCTAAGTTGTGTTCTGAGGTAGTCTACCTAAGTTGTGTCCTGAGGTAGTCTACCTAAGTTGTGTTCTGAGGTAGTCTACCTAAGTTGTGTCCTGAGGTGGTCTACCTAAGTTGTGTTCTGAGGTAGTCTACCTAAGTTGTGTTCTGAGGTAGTCTACCTAAGTTGTGTTCTGAGGTAGTCTACCTAAGTTGTGTCCTGAGGTAGTCTACCTAAGTTGTGTTCTGAGGTAGTCTACCTAAGTTGTGTCCTGAGGCAGTCTACCTAAGTTGTGTTCTGAGGTAGTCTACCTAAGTTGTGTCCTCAGGTAGTCTACCTAAGTTGTGTTCTGAGGTAGTCTACCTAAGTTGTGTCCTGAGGTAGTCTACCTAAGTTGTGTTCTGAGGTAGTCTACCTAAGTTGTGTCCTGAGGTAGTCTACCTAAGTTGTGTCCTGAGGCAGTCTACCTAAGTTGTGTCCTGAGGTAGTCTACCTAAGTTGTGTCCTGAGGCAGTCTACCTAAGTTGTGTCCTGAGGCAGTCTACCTAAGTTGTGTCCTGAGGCAGTCTACCTAAGTTGTGTCCTGAGGTAGTCTACCTAAGTTGTGTCCTGAGGTAGTCTACCTAAGTTGTGTCCTGAGGTAGTCTACCTAAGTTGTGTCCTGAGGTAGTCTACCTAAGTTGTGTCCTGAAGTAGTCTACCTAAGTTGTGTCCTGAGGTAGTCTACCTAAGTTGTGTCCTGAGGTAGTCTACCTAAGCTAGTTATGAGGAAAGTTGGGTAGTGGTCCGTAGTGTTGTTTGTGATAATGGCTGCTTTTAGTGGGGATATAATATTGATCCAGATATGATCAAGCAATGAGGCGCTTGTCTCTCTGGCTGTCTTGAAGACCCCTGGCTGTCTTGAAGACCCCTGGCTGTCTTCAAGACCCCTGGCTGTCTTGAAGACCCCTGGCTGTCTTCAAGACCCCTGGCTGTCTTCAAGACCCCTGGCTGTCTTCAAGACCCTGGCTGTCTTCAAGACCCCTGGCTGTCTTCAAGACCCCTGGCTGTCTTCAAGACCCCTGGCTGTCTTCAAGACCCCTGGCTGTCTTCAAGACTCCTGGCTGTCTTCAAGACCTCTGACTGTCTTCAAGACCCCTGGCTGTCTTCAAGACCTCTGACTGTCTTCAAGACCCCTGGCTGTCTTCAAGACCTCTGACTGTCTTCAAGACCCCTGGCTGTCTTTAAGACCCCTGGCTTTCTTCAAGACCCCTGGCTGTCTTCAAGACCTCTGACTGTCTTCAAGACCCCTGTCTGTCTTCAAGACCCCTGGCTGTCTTCAAGACCCCTGGCTGTCTTCAAGACCCCTGGCTGTCTTCAAGACCCCTGGCTGTCTTCAAGACCTCTGACTGTCTTCAAGAACCCTGGCTGTCTTCAAGACCCCTGGCCATCTTCAAGACCCCTGGCTGTCTTCAAGACCCCTGGCTGTCTTCAAGACCTCTGACTGTCTTCAAGAACCCTGGCTGTCTTCAAGACCCCTGGCCATCTTCAAGACCCCTGACTGTCTTTAAAATCCCTGACTGTCTTCAAGACCCCTGACTGTCTTCAAGACCCCTGGCTGTATTCAAGACCCCTGACTCTCTTCAAGACCCCTGGCTGTCTTCAAGACCCCTGGCTGTCTTTAAGACCTCTGTCTTCAAGACCCCTGACTGTCTTCAAGACCCCTGACTGTCTTCAAGACCCCTGGCTGTATTCAAGACCCCTGACTCTCTTCAAGACCCCTGGCTGTCTTCAAGACCCCTGGCTGTCTTTAAGACCTCTGTCTTCAAGACCCCTGGCTGTCTTCAAGACCCCTGACTGTCTTCAAGACCCCTGACTGTCTTCAAGACCCCTGGCTGTCTTGAAAACCCTGGCTGTCTTCAAGACCCCTGACTGTCTTCAAGACCCCTGGCTGTCTTGAAAACCCTGGCTGTCTTCAAGACCCCTGACTGTCTTCAAGACCCCTGACTGTCTTCAAGACCCCTGGCTGTCTTGAAAACCCTGGCTGTCTTCAAGACCCCTGACTGTCTTCAAGACCCCTGACTGTCTTCAAGACCCCTGACTGTCTTCAAGACCCCTGACTGTCTTCAAGAAGGCGCTGGACAGGCACCTGAAGTCAGTACCTGACCAACCGGACTATGGTTTATGCGTTAGTTTACGTTAGTTTAATATGTTAGTTTAATATGTTTATTATGCACCCCATACCCATCCTGTGGGCGGTAGTCAAGAGTGTTAGTTTACGTGCGTCCAACAGTAACAGCCTGTTTGACCATGCTCTGGTTCACCACGAGGAGTGTTCACGGACTGGGCCTCGGGGGCGTTGACCCCCGAAACACCCGCCAGGTATTCAGTTATACTTCACTTGTTGTATGAGTTGTAAGATCACAGGTGTTGCAGGAGTTGCAAGATCAACACAGGTGTTGCATGAGTTGCAAGATCAACGAAGGTGTTGCATGAGTTGCAAGACCAACACAAGTGTTGCAGGAGTTGCAAGATTAATACAGGTGTTACATGAGTTGCAAAATCAACACATGTGTTGCAAGACCAACACAGGTGTTGCATGAGTTGCAAGACCAACACAGGTGTTGCATGAGTTGCAACATCAATACAGGTGTTGTATTAGTTGCAACATCAACACAGGTGTTGTATTTGCAACAACACAGGTGTTGTATTAGTTGCAACATCAACACAGGTGTTGTATTAGTTGCAACATCAACACAGGTGTTGTATTAGTTGCAACATCAACACAGGTGTTGTATTAGTTGCAACATCAACACAGGTGTTGTATTAGTTGCAACATCAACACAGGTGTTGTATTGCAACATTAACACAGGTGTTGTATGTTGCAACATCAACACAGGTGTTGTATTAGTTGCAACATCAACACATGTGTTGTATTAGTTGCAACATCAACACAGGTGTTGTATTAGTTGCAACATCAACACAGGTGTTGTATTAGTTGCAACATCAACACAGGTGTTGTATTAGTTGCAACATCAACACAGGTGTATTGCAACATTAACACAGGTGTTGTATGTTGCAACATCAACACAGGTGTTGTATTAGTTGCAACATCAACACAGGTGTTGTATTAGTTGCAACATCGACACAGGTGTTGTATTAGTTGCAACATCAACACAGGTGTTGTATTAGTTGCAACATCAACACAGGTGTTGTATTAGTTGCAACATCAACACAGGTGTTGTATTAGTTGCAACATCAACACAGGTGTTGTATTAGTTGCAATATCAACACAGGTGTTGTATTAGTTGCAACATCAACACAGGTGTTGTATTAGTTGCAACATCAACACAGGTGTTGTATTAGTTGCAACATCAACACAGGTGTTGTATTAGTTGCAACATCAACACAGGTGTTGTATTAGTTGCAACATCAACACAGGTGTTGTATTAGTTGCAACATCAACACAGGTGTTGTATTAGTAGCAACATCAACACAGGTGTTGTATTAGTTGCAACATCAACACAGGTGTTGTATTAGTTGCAACATCAACACAGGTGTTGTAGTAGTTGCAACATCAACACAGGTGTTGTATTAGTTGCAACATCAACACAGGTGTTGTATTAGTTGCAACATCACAGGTGTTGTATTAGTTGCAACGTCAACACAGGTGTTGTATTAGTTGCAACGTCAACACAGGTGTTGTATTAGTTGCAACGTCAACACAGGTGTTGTATTAGTTGCAACGTCAACACAGGTGTTGTATTAGTTGCAACATCAACACAGGTGTTGTATTAGTTGCAACATCAACACAGGTGTTGTATTAGTTGCAACGTCAACACAGGTGTTGTATTAGTTGCAACATCAACACAGGTGTTGTATTAGTTGCAACATCAACACAGGTGTTGTATTAGTTGCAACATCAACACAGGTGTTGTATTAGTTGCAACATCAACACAGGTGTTGTATTAGTTGCAACATCAACACAGGTGTTGTATTAGTTGCAACATCAACACAGGTGTTGTATTAGTTGCAACATCAACACAGGTGTTGTATTAGTTGCAACATCAACACAGGTGTTGTATTAGTAGCAACATCAACACAGGTGTTGTATTAGTTGCAACATCAACACAGGTGTTGTATTAGTTGCAACATCAACACAGGTGTTGTAGTAGTTGCAACATCAACACAGGTGTTGTATTAGTTGCAACATCAACACAGATGTTGTATTAGTTGCAACATCAACACAGATGTTGTATTAGTTGCAACATCACAGATGTTGTATTAGTTGCAACATCAACACAGATGTTGTATTAGTTGCAACATCAACACAGATGTTGTATTAGTTGCAACATCAACACAGATGTATTAGTTGCAACATCAACACAGGTGTTGTATTAGTTGCAACATCAACACAGGTGTTGTATTAGTTGCAACATCAACACAGGTGTTGTATTAGTTGCAACATCAACACAGGTGTTGTATTAGTTGCAACATCAACACAGGTGTTGTATTAGTTGCAACATCAACACAGGTGTTGTAATATGTTAAAGATCAGCCGCCATAGTGTTCTAATTTTTGGAATATAAAGTTACTTGTCCCACTCTCATAATTAAGTAATTATCATTATTTTAAAATTATATATATGTAAACACGGCAATCTGTCAATTAATAAAAACATAATTCATAATTTACAAGTGAAAAAGACTAAGTTTTATGGCATGGAGAATAATAAAAATATTTTATTTAATGAATGTTGTTCTAAGTTAAGTCGTATTAATTTATTACAACTCTATTTGTGTAATAATTTATGTGCATAAAGTAAGTAATGTGAAGTGAAAATTGTGTGGAAATAAAGTATATTGAGTGAATGAAGGAAGGTGAAGTCGTGGCCATCAGTCGGAACACAGTGGTCAGCTGCACCACACCTGCCTCTCACACGTCAGTATATTTCTTAGTATTATCAGCCTCTCCTGGTATATATGGCGGTGTGGCTGGTATATATGGTTGTGTTGGTGGTATATGTGGTTGTAGTGGTGCTGGTATATATGGTGATGAGTGAAGTAATGAGAGAGATGACTGGTAATGATAAGTGACTCACCACCCACACCTATCATCCTTCACTATCATTATTATCATTGTTATTATAATGTTATGATGATCACTGAGGGTAATGATGATATAGGAAGGTGATCTTGACATTATTATGTCCCCGGGGGGGCGGGGGTGACCCAGGGTAAGTCATGAAGGTCATGTGCTGACTTTCATCAGCGGGGGGCGCCACCCCCTGTACCCCTGGGAGGGGTGATGCTGCTGGGCTCTTGATCAGAGTAACTGGAGCAGCCCTCCCCTGCCCTGGATTAAAAACCTGAGGTCCTCTTAAGATAACCTGTGAGGTCCTTTAAAGAGGTAACCGCCTGTGATGGCACCCGTTTTAAAGTGTGGGTGCCAGACCCGCCTGTGTGGATGCCAGACCCGCCTGTGTGGGTGCCAGACCCGCCTGTGTGGGTGCCAGACCCGCCTGTGTGGGTGCCAGACCCGCCTGTGTGTGTGGTGGTCCAGACCCGCCTGTGTGGGTGCCAGACCCGCCTGTGTGGGTGCCAGACCCGCCTGTGTGGGTGCCAGACCCGCCTGTGTGGGTGCCAGACCCGCCTGTGTGGGTGCCAGACCCGCCTGTGTGGGTGCCAGACCCGCCTGTGTGGGTGCCAGACCTGCCTGTGTGGGTGCCAGACCTGCCGGAGTGTTATTGGCAGTTCCACATGTACCTGGAGCTCTTTGACTCTTGTGGGTTTAGCACTTAATTTTGATGGTAATGACATGTTTGGAGGTCACTCTGGAGGTCACCCCTCCCCCTCGGGTCTGGTCCCAGACCAGGCCTGATTGATCACTGTTAGTGCCCATTTCTTGCAGTCCAATGTATCTACCACAGCCTGGCTGATCAGCAACTTGCTTGAGGACATTATTGAATTTCATCTTGAAGACAGTCAGGTCTAGAGTATTCTCTACAGTCTGGTTGATCCATAAGTCACACTAACTTTGTTCTATGCAAGATTAACTCTATATCATGTATCATTGTTATCTTTAGGTAATGCTGTAAAATATATAATTGCTGCATATTCTAGCCATGTGTCTTATTATCTTTGCTTAACTCTATGTAATGTAGTATTGTTATATTATGTGTCCCTAACATTTGGGGCCTCGGGACCATATTGGGGCCTCGGGACCATATTGGGGCCTCGGGACCATATTGTCACCAACAGTATTAAATGCCATTTTTATTGCAGATCAATAAAATTTTAACAGGATAGCAATTTCTCTCCAGTGCTGAATAAACTATTAAGTATTTTTAATATTGCATCATTTGTGTTAAACTTTGAATCCAAATTGACCAGGAATATGCATATTGTGCTTGGTTAGGTGCATGTACAGTTAGTTTTGGTATCTTCATCCAGTATTTTTGATAGTGTTGGTAGATTAGTAATTGATCTATACTTTATAAGTTCAGTTTGATCCCTATCCTTATGGATAGTGTTATTCTGGCTTTTCTGGAAAGGTTTGCATAAGTAATTCGTTCTAATATTAACCCTGAACTAAAACACTTTCATGATATTTGCAGTAGGACCCATAGACACTATACCAGACACAAAAATCTCTACATCATTCCTCATGTCCAGCTAAACCTCTACAAAAATTTGGTGTACATAAAAGTGTCTAAAATCTGGAGCTCCCTGCCTGAAAACTCTAGAGCTGCAGACTCTACCATCATTTTCAAAACTATATCATATCTCCCTATCATCAACTAACCAAATGAAAACCACCTAATTCTCCTCTGGTATCATGAACACATCCAAAACAATATAGTCTTACTCACATTTTCTGTAACCCCCCTCCCCCAAGGGAAAGGGTTCCTTGATTTTGGTGGGGGCTCTTGATTTAGGGAATTGGATCTGTGCTCCAGTTCCCCGAATTAAGCCTGAATGCCTTCCACACCCCCCCCCCCCAGGCGCTGTATAATCCTCCCGGGTTTTTAGCGCCCCCCCCTTTGATTTAATAAAAATAATAATGAATTTCCCCCAAATTTAAACCTTACACTCACCCAAATGACTGTAAAAAAAATTTCCTAATACAGTGGAACCTGTTTTTCGGCCCCTTGTTTATCGGCTGATTCGTTTTTAGGCTATTTTTTTCGGGGGAAATTTGCTCCACATTTCAGCCATTTCTCGTTATTGGTCATATTAAGAAGCTGATTGGCTTGTTTATTTAAATCGACTGTAAAACAAGCCACCATGGCAGGGAGGTACAGGCAGGGGGCAGGGAGTGGGCATGGAGGGAGGCGGGGGTGGGATGGAGGGAGGGAGGGAGTGTGGCATGGGGGGAGGCAGGGGGTGGGCATGGAGGGAGGAGGGATGGGCATGGAGGGAGGGGAGGAGTGGGCATGGGGGAGGCGGGGGGGTGGCATGGGGGGAGGCAGGAGTGTGGCATGGAGGGGCAGGGGTGTGGCTGGAGGGAGGCAGGAGTGTGGCATGGGGAGGGGAGGAGTGTGGCATGGAGGGAGGCAGGGGGTGGGATGGGGGGAGGCAGGGAGTTGGGATGGAGGGAGGGAGGGGTGTGGGAGGAGGGAGGGAGGGAGTGGGCAGGGGGAGGCAGGGAGTGTGGATGGAGGGAGGCAGGAGGTGGGGGGAGGAGGCAGGGAGTGTGGCATGGAGGGAGGGAGGGATGTGGCTGGGGGGGAGGCAGGGAGTGTGGCTGGAGGGGCAGGGAGTGTGGCATGGAGGGGGGCAGGAGGTGGATGGAGGGGGCAGGGGGTGGGGCATGGAGGGGGGCAGGGAGTTTGGGGATGGGGGGAGGCAGGGAGTGTGGCATGGAGGGAGGCAGGAGTGTGGCATGGAGGGGGGCAGGATGTGGCATGGATGGGGGCAGGAGTTGGCTGGTGGGGGCAGGGGGGTGTGGGTGGTGGAGGCAGGGGTGTGGCATGGGTGGGGGCAGGGGGTGTGGCATGGAGAGAGGGAGGGGGGGGAGTGAGTGTGGCAAGGAGGGAGGAGGGAGTGTGGCATGGAGGGAGGGGGGGGAGTGTGGGATGGAGGGGGGGAGTGTGGCATGGAGGGGGGGGAGAGGTGTGGGATGGAGGGGGGGAAGAGTGTGGCATGGAGGGGGGGGAGAGAGAGTGGAGGAGGGAGGGAGAAGAGTGGCATGGAGGGGGGGAGAGAGTTCATGGAGGGAGGGGAGATGTGGGATGGAGGGAGGGGGGGTGTGGCTGGAGGGGGGGAGAGAGTGTGGCATGGGGGGAGGGAGAGAGTGTGGCATGGGGGGAGGGAGGAGTGTGGCATGGAGGAGGGAAAAGAGTGTGGCTGGGGGGGGGGAAGAGTGTGGGGGAGGGAGGGAGAGTGTGGCATGGAGGGGGGGGAAGTGTGGCAGGAGGGAGGGAGAGAGTGTGGCATGGAGGGAGGGAAGATGTGGCTGGAGGGAGGGGGAGAGTGTGGCATGGAGGGAGGGAGAGAGTGTGGCATGGAGGGAGGGAGAGAGTGTGGCATGGAGGGAGGGAGAGAGTGTGGCATGGAGGGAGGGAGAGAGTGTGGCATGGGGGGAGGGGGGAGAGTGTGGCATGGGGGAGGGAGAAGTGTGGCATGGGGGGAGGGGGAGGTGTGGGATGGAGGGAGGGGAGATGTGGCATGGAGGGAGGGAGGAAATGTGGCATGGAGGGAGGGGGGAGAGTGTGGCATGGAGGGGGGAGAGAGTGTGGCTGGAGGGAGGGAGAGAGTGTGGCATAGGGGGGGGGAAGAGAGAGGGAGCATGGAGGGAGGGGGGGAGTGTACATGGAGGGAGGGAGGGAGGTAGCATGGAGGGGGGAGGGAGTGTAGCATGGAGGGAGGGGGGGATGTGCATGGAGGAGGAGGGGGGGTGGCATGGAGGGAGGGGGGGAGTGTAGCATGGGTGGAGGGGGGGATGTAGCATGGATGGGGGGAGGGGGGGAGTGTAGATGGAGGGAGGGGGGGAGGAGGGAGGTAGCAGGGGGAGGGAGGGGGGGAAGGGGGTGAGCATGGGGGGGAGGGAGGGAGGGGTTTGCATGGAGGGGGGGATGTGCAGGAAAGGGGGGGAGGGGGGGGGGGGGGGGTTTAAAAATTTTTTTTTTTTTTTTTGGGGGGGGGGGGTTTTTTTTTTTGGGGGGGGGGGGGGGGGGAAAAAAGGGGGAAGGGGGGGTACTAAAATTTCGGGGGAAAAAAAAATTTTAAAATTGCTTTTTTTTTTTTTTGGGGGGGAAAGGGGGGGAAAAGGGGGGGGTTGTAAAAAGGGGGGGGGGAAAGGAGGGGGGGGGGGGGAAAATTCTAAAAAAATTCAAAAAAGGGGGGGGGTTTGGGTTAAAAAAAGGGGTTTTTGAGGGGGGGGGGTTTCAAAAAGGGGGTGTCATGGGGGGAAAAATTTTGGGGGGGGGGGTTTTTTGGGGGGGGAAAGGGGGGGGTTCATAAGGGGGGGAAGTTTAGATAAAGGGGGGGGGGAGGGGGGTTCGGGGGAAGTTGGGGAGGGATTAGCAGGGAGGGGGGTAGCAGGAGGGAGGGGGGGGGGGGAACAGGGGGAGGGGGGGAGGGAGGAGAAAGGGGAGGGAGGGGGTTAGCAGGAGGGGGGGGGAAGTGAAAGCAGGGGAGGGGGGGGGGGGGAAAAGGGGGGAGGGAGGGGAGGGGAAAGGGGGGGAGGGAGGGAGGGGGGGGGGGGGAGGGAAGTGTAGCGGGCAGGGGCGGGGAAGGTAAAGCAGGCAGGCAGGGAAGTGTAGCAGGCGGGCGGAAGGTCCCCCAGGCGGGCAGGGAAGTGTAGCGGGCGGGCGGGGAAAAGTGTGCAGGCGGGCAGGAAGTGTAGCAGGCGGGAGGGAAAGTGTACAGGCGGCAGGGAAGTGTAGCAGGCAGGCAGGGAAGTGTAGCAGGCAGGAGGGAAGTACCCCAGAGAAAAAG